AACTTCACTTATGTTCAAATAGATCATTCTTTTCGCAACCACCACCCCCCACCAAACAGGAGTTCTTTTGTCCAACAGGATAATTAAGTGGGACCAAAATACCCTTCTTGTTAAAGAGTCATTCCAGTTAAGAACTGTGATATTATTAACTAAGGCTGTGTATCACAAAAAGACCCATCTCTAGCTGTAGAGACTAGGTGAAAGCAGTTCACAGAAGTGCTTAAGAAGTTCTAAGCATCACCTCTACAGAATCACCATGAAAAATCCCAGCAGGCGTCTTGGACAATCAGAATCTATCTTGATTTGAAACAGTTGCGTTGATTCAAGAGGAGGTTTCTTCTTCAAAGGAGGTGACCAGCTCCACTGAAGTCATAAGGAGAAGAGGAAAGAGGGAGACACAAATTCACCCTTTCAGAAGTTTTGTTGCCTAGAAGAAATATGCCAATTTATGTCTGTGCAAGAAAGCTGCAGGCAAGTTCTTCAGCAATTAGCATTCTTATTATTAGAATACCTCCTGATACAGCATGAAAGCCATCTTAAAAAACGGCTCCAAGTAAATCTCATTATTCCCTGTATCAGCAAAACAATGTCTTCCCAAAACAACCAGTAACAGTCAAAGATGCTACATTAAAACAAACAAACTGAGAAGTTACTTTGTGTAGACAATTACACCACAAAAGTATATGAGCATCAGTAAGGGATAAACCATGTAGACAGAAATTTCAGGACTAAAGAAACACAGTATGAGAACTACACTCTTGGGCACCTACAAAGTATGAGACAATAACAACCGTGACATTGTCACAATACATACCTAGATGGATAGGAAGTATGGCACTATCATTTTTGTAAGTGTCGAAACAAGATACAACTGCCAATATTTTTTTTCTTTTTGGACTAGTTAGAAATCCACATAAGCACAAGAACTCTTGAAATCACCCAGAACAATGTGCAAGACTTGTTTCACTGTTAGTTCACTATTCTGTAATGTGTTTAAATTCTGTACATTTGCAGAGCTACAAAACCAAATAATATGTATGAATTCAAAAATCAGAAGTTAAATATAAATGGAAAAACTGGTTCAAAAGAACTAAGAGGAACATCCAAAAAGCAAAACCTGTACAGGTAGCGTAAAGACCATAGAAAAACATGCCAGACATGAATTAAAAGAATCCAAATGATAAACAGGAATGTACTCTACCAAAAAAACAAAAAAAAGCAGAAATTGTGTTCAAATGAAGAAGATAAGCCCCAGATCTGGCAGGTTACACAGCAAAAACATACTACCATATTTAAAAATTGATCTGAAAACAAAACAATCCTCCCTTTTTGGGAGCAGGAAGCCTCACACAAAAACCTGCAGAACTAAAAGATGACAAATATAAAACTGAAAATTTAGGACCCCTTAGACTACTGATGCTTGGGTAAGGACCTCAAATTCAACGAATATCCACGTAGTCAAAGACATATAAAATCTGCAAATTGAACAGATTTTTCTGATACTCTTGTATAACTCCAAAGGCTTAAACAAAACACAAGTCTCAGTATAGAGAGAATCCTTGCTAAACTCAAACTTTAAAAGGCTGACTGAAGAAAAGTGAGACAATTTTGTCTCTATTGATCTTGAAGACTACCAAGGAGAAACCACAAAGTACCATTTGAACTACTCCAATTTGATTTGGTATGGTGACTTTAATCATGTCAGCCAGCTTCAATGTTAAAAGAAATTGTGAACAGTTTTCCTTACAACTACCCACCAGTAACAGGCATTTGACACATGCCCTTTAAAGTGCAAAGGAGACAAGTCATATTGCTCTGGATTACAGATAACTGCTTTCATCATGAAAAAGAAGATAGATGATCCCAAAAAAAGAAAATAGAGGATGTTCAAAAACAGATGTACACCCTGCAAATTTAGTTAAAATCAGTTCAGAGGTACCCCACAGAGACCGTTCTGAACTGCAAGCATGAACACACAGTCATGACAGACTACAGTCCTAGGCCCATGTATATTCCATGGTCAAAGCACTGCTGTTTCCCTAGCATTTGTACCTGAGTCACAGCAAGTCCAGTTTGGACAGGTTTTAGGCATTCTGCAATTACAAATTTCAGTTGCAATGCAAATATACTACAAGTGAGAATTATTAATATGCGGTCAATTCTTCTGGATAATGATGTCTTATTCTAATCTATTTCATGAAAGATCAACTAAAGGTGACAGACTGTACAGGACATTTCCTTTAGGTTATGACTTGAGACACGAGTAAAAGTAACACCTAACAAACAAACATGTCAATAGATACAGCAAAAAAGTAGTACTCATCACATGTTCTACCAGCTCCAAAGCATTTCCACAAACAGTACATGTTCTTGTTGTTTCCTGTCATGTGCCAACAGCTTCACGAAATCTTCGTCAAAAGCAATTAAGATCAATAAATCAAACATTCAACTACTGTGTACAAAACTGTTTTACACAAAGACTCTTTGCCATAATACTAGAAATGGAAAAAAGTCCAAGCCATGACTATATCTGAAGCAACCCTAAGAACTCTGCCTTCCTTTACTGCCTGCTAAGGTTGTTCTTAAGTAGCATACAAATTAGCCACTAACATATACTCATGAAGCATTCAAAATACGTCTCACCTTTATTTAAAACAATTTACTAATGCTAACATTAGGGTAAGAATTCATATCAATAATATTCTTAAATTATATAGTATATTTGTATATTATTATAATCCAAAACTAATTTATATTGATATATTTTATATTGTGTATTATATTTATATTCTATTAGTATATTGTTATACATTGATAAACATTGAAACATTAAGAGATAGGTTTTACTTTGCAAACCGACATACGTAAAAATATAAAGTGACTCTTTTTGCAGCACATTCCTTACACAAATCTATGAATACTAGCAGATTTATCTTGTACTTTTACTGCTAATTGAAAGGAATGACTGGAGTAGCACAGATGACACAGAATTATTCCTTGATAAATTTCAAAAATGTCAGGGCTCAAATAACCTTACTTTCTGCAGACTAGTTGATTACTGCACAGACAATCTATCAACATGTAAATGAAGCCTGAATTCTTAATTAGGAAGAAAATTCACCAAAATAAGATTCTATTTGAAAAAACTGACTTAAATCCACCACCTTAGAATAACACACTTGTCAACTGTGCCTTTTTCCCCCCAACTCCTTTCAGAGGATAGCAAGTGTCAACACTATGGGAAACTCCCTAGTATTTGCCACAGAACCCATGGTATTTGAAGTCACCATCTTCAAATTTGAAGCATAACTATCAGCTTATTTAGATTAAAAAAAATCCTACAGAGTTCCAACCAGCATGAATAGAATTTTTTTAATAGCCACCAAGTGCTTGCTTTTGCTGATATAAACCATATTTTGATGACCATATTTTAATAAATAGGAAAAACTCTGGAAGAATCCATGCAGACAACAGTTTTAATGTTATCAATGCACATTTGAACTTCACATAAACTGATATCTGGACAGTTCTGGTTTTAGGTGGTCATGAAGTCCATCTCTTATTCACCAAATGCCATGCAAATTTTAAAACACATGACAACAAAAATCTTCACCTCTAGACTGGCCTCCATTTCTTAATATCTTCTCCCTTTCAAGTTAATAATTCAAACTACCTACTCAATTTCTTCTTCCTTTATATTTGAAGGTTTGGGGTTTTTTGCTTGCCCTACTTAATACAAGATGACCACAATGCACTCATTGTCTAATAAAACCCCTGTTATTCTAAAATTAAAACCATCCACAAAACAGATTTTCATTCACGTGCATGATTTACCAAGTCAACGTCTTTCCTATTTCCCAGTACTATGCATCATTGCATCTTTTACACAAAATATTGAATTGCACCTGGTAAGTCTTCTGCATGTCTCTTCCAGTTAACCACGTCCTACACTGTTAAGTCTTCCTATAGACATAACAATTCTCCTTTCTCAAAGAAAATTACACTAATATGCAAATTGTCCAATTGATTTTAAGGAATATACTCCCAGGACAATGATACTACTCATTGAGTAGATATGGGACATGCCAACATTAAATAAATTTTTTAAGGAAAAAGAAATTTCATTTTAGCTCCAGCTTAAATTTAAAAACAGTTTCACTCCTAACATTTAAGTACCCATACACACCCCTCTTCTGCATAGATGGATCCATTTCTTTTAGTTCTTTTGTATCAGAAGAAGGTAATGTTGAAGGAATGAGGAAAGCTAATGAGAAGGATGAGGAAGGTTACAGTGAAGTCCTCAAGGAGATTGCCAAGAAAGTTGACCAGACTGTGTCATCCCTAAGGCAGTAATCACACAGCTTACTGACAGTAATAGCATATGGATTTCTGCAGAAAACACTGTTCCTAAAGAACTATACACAAGTTCTTAAATGAAATAGGAAAACAAAGCAAAGATACTCAGGTGAGTTCAGCCACAGGAGAACCCATAATTACCACATCACACAGTTACACATTTTACTTATCAGAAGCTGTAACACCTGCATAGGTATTTTATTCTTTAAAAATTCAATTAGCCAGTTCAGAGACTTACTCAAATTGTCAGAGTAATATTCAGTGAGACCTAGAGGTTCCCAATTACCTAAAAAGTTATTGAAGACAGATTTTTCAGCTTTCAATAGAATGAAACATTTTATATATATAATTAAAAGGATAAATATATAACATATATTATAAAATAAATAAAAACACACTCTCATCAATTTGAATCTGGTCATACATGAAACATCATGGTTGCCTTCAGCACTCAGAAAACTTTAAAATTCTGACTCATAGTTAAGTCTGCACACCATAAAAACTGCACTGTAATTCCATGACACAGACAGCTGTGGAATTGAAGTATGACATTAGTTTTAATCTAGTGATGACTAGTAGACAAAAAAACACCCAACAAACATACTTTATATATGTAGAGATTTTATGAGTTGGTCAAACAAATCTTACCCCAGCAGAATTTTAGCATGAACCTCTTTGTTAGTCCTTGAGATTTCTCTCAAAGAGGTAATTTCTGCATCAAACCAAAATCCTCTTTCTTCTGGAGTCTCAACATTGTAGTTAACCATCACCACATCACCCACTTTTAGTTCACTCCACTTCAGAATGGTTCTTGCTCGGGGTCGAAGGTTACTGGTGTCCATTTCTACTATGCCATTCTCTGGGTACCTTGAAAAGTAAAACCAACAACAGCAATGATTACGACTCCTGTAACAGTAATTCACAGACAACATTTTTCAGAAGTGTAAGCTTTTAAAGTGTGCCTTGGGCATATAAGAAACATAGTCTAAAAATCTGACCTAATATCCTTTTGAAAGTTCGTCTTTCATCTAAACACAGACCAGGAATTTGACTAATCTCAAATGGAAGAAACAGCCCCCACGAATCTTCCTTCTCAAAAAAAAATATTTAAATAATTGAGTAAATTAAGCACTGGATAACTTTTTTATTGGAATGCGATCAAGTTCAAGGTTTTGGCACACACATGGCCCCAGTTTGCTCCCTGTAAAGTCAAAATTCCAATTAAAATGACAATGAAAAAATAATGAAGATTAAAACTATGTTTTTCAACTCAGCACATTTCTGATTTAGCTTTGCTTTCATGCAATTTGTTCCATTTCCACAAACTTCAATAACAATACATATAGGACAGTTCTTTTTAAAAATTTGACCCTACAAACACAGGATATCAAATGCATACGTTAATACAGCCGAAGTCCACATTTCATGCACTATGTTTAAAACAAATCTAACTACAAAGCATAGCAAGTGAGAAACAGAACTAAGACTCTCAATAAGATATATGAACTAACAAATTGAAAATGTTTCTCCCTTTAAATCACAAAACCAAAAAAATCTAGAAATATAAATGCGAGAATCATTCCTTCTCTTGACAACACACTTGGCAAGATGTGGTAAGGAATGCAGTATTAAAAGAAACTAATGGTTCACTAAATCATAACTAAGAAATTTTGGTTGACTTTCACTGAACCTTTGCGACTTTTTTTTTAAACACATTATTTTCCATATTACCCACAAATTTTTAGGGTTTCTAAGAGATTGCTTTCTTCCTCCTGTGTTGATGTATGCCATCAGAGCACATATATAACAATCCAAGAGTAATGAATAATTTCTGAAGAGCTCCAATTCTGCTCCAAGTTGGGAAAGACTCATTTAGCGGAATTAAGATAGTGATATTTGACAGCACTACAACTAAAATCCCAATGCAATAAAAGAATGCTTTTAAGATTTGAGATGTTAACTTTTCAGTTTAGCACAGCAGCCTTCTTAAAGCCTCTGTATAAGGCAATTACTCAATGATAGTAGAGCCTGTATAGTTTGCACGTGTGCTGGGAAAACAGCACAATACAGACACGACAAAAGCATTGCTTCCAGGAGAAAGCTGGCCTACTACAAAAAGTAACAAGATCCTAGACTAAAACAGTGAAGTTCACTTCTGATACCATAAGCAAATAAAGAATCTTCCACCATTTAACTAGTACTAGATGAGGTCACAGAACAAATTCAACAAAGAAAATGAAAATAAATCTACAGCCTATAAACAAGTGCTATTAAAACGTGTTCATTCTTCCTTAACAAACATCGCTGAGGATGGTATATCTTAATTTACATTTCTACCACGCAATTATTGGTACTTTAGCAAAAGCTTCATGCTTTATAGTTAATACACCTTTATGAAACAGCACTGTTAAATTGTAATGGCAAAATCCTCCTCTTACTAATAAAAGTATGGTTCTGCCACTTTCCAGCATGCCTCCCTGTGGTGAACAAGATCATTTCAAGGACTTGGGGAAATCGGACACTAACTCCCTACATTACTACATGAAGAAATACTAAAACTACTATCATTATCAGCATGAGGCTCTGAAAGACTATAGCCTGAAATCAGGATGTCTACTCTTAAACAGTTGATTGAAAGCCCACTGATGTAATTGGAGACAATATAAACAAGTCAATTCACTTTGTTTTATGCTTTCTATAAAATCTAACACACCACTTTGCTACTACAGGTAAGGCTGGGGGTTAGACCTGGCATTCTATCTCCAGGCATTTCTTTGTTCTCTACCATGCAGATTATCTAGTCTGTGCCTTAAATTTGTGGGAAGGTTCATGAATATTTTTGCTCAAAGAAACATGAACCACAACAGTTTAGAAGTGGCTGTATCTTTAGATAAAACAATAGCCAAGTAAAGAAACCATACCCTCAACTGCTTACAAAAGTCAAATCCAAAGAGTGTTTTTTCCCCTAATTCAAAACTCTTCCTAATTCAAAAACTCTTCATGACATGAATTATACCATACAAAGACAAGTGCTTGGGATCGAGCCAGTATCCAAATGACAGTCTCCACAGTTCCTAAATCTTTTACTTGATTTTGTTTCAAATTTGAGTGCGTACTGCAAAGCTAAATTTGTCATGTAGTTTTCCCTTAAAAGAATGTTACACGATTCTACTATAATAATTACTAACATTGTAACTGTAATATCCACAAAAACTTTAAGACAGATTCATCTACATGTAATAAGACAAACCAAAATGCAACTCTAGAGATAATGTCTATTTTATTGAGTGCCTGAACAATGACATCGCGTTACAGTAGAACAGGCTCCTGAAATCTTCAGACAGCTATGTCTGAAGTCAGTTCCAATCATCTTACAATAAGCCCTTCCTAAAGTTTGGAGAAGACAGCAAGTAGCACACAGTAAATAAAGATTCACTCTGTTAACTTGAACTCTGAAATGAAAATAGGACTTAAAACACCAGGAAACTAAAGGAGATAGATAAAAAAAATAGACATAATTTACAGATATGGTGAAATAATCAAGTGAGAAGTACATATGGGATTAGTGGTATTGTAAAAATAACCAATACACATTAAGAAAGTTCCAGTGTCACTATTAAAAAAAAACCCTCAAAAATGTGTGACTGACAGCAGTTTACATTCGTAGAAATGTAACTTTGATCTGAAGAATCTATTATCTTCTGACAATAAAATTTCTTCGGGTTCTGTTTTCCCTGGGAGACAATTATATTTCCTTTGGACAAATACATTTTTTACTTAATGATTAAGAAATGGTTGTTTTCCCAAATTCGGATTTGCATCATCTTTCCCATCCCTATAAAATTCAGAAGAGTCTTTCCTACTGTACTGCTGAGGAACTTCAAGGGTTGTCATTGTTAACAATGACTCCACCTCTGTTCTTAGAAGTATCTGATGGAAGAACCCAAACAAAGACAATTGTTTATCAGCATGACTAGGACAAGATCACTTACCAAAGACACCCCCAAAGTCCTCTTTTACAGACAGAAAGAAACTAACTGCTTTCCAAAGAAAGACATAGAAGGTAGCCTCTTCACTGAGTGAATTTTTCCTCTTAATGGCTGGTCAGAAACTTAAGCTCAGAAACTTTTGAAGAAAAAAAAAAAAAAAAAAAGGCGACGCTTCGCTTGTCAGAATTCACTTTTCTTTTGCATCAGGTTCCAGACATTGAATGTTTTGCTGCTGTGCCTTCACATGTAGAAATATGCTTTCATGGACATCAGTGAATGCTAGCAGACATTTAACCATTCATGCTTGTCCATAACTGACACACAGGCAGAACAGCAGACACGACATTCGTCACAAGCTTTTGATTTAGGCTCCAAATCAGAGTCACACTATATATGTTAAGCACTGCACCATTATTCCTCATTGAGTAGTAGGTAAACAGTACTTCCACATTAAACTTGTGCCCTCAAATTATCTAATGCCACAATTTACCTAAGTATGTAAAAAACACACTCACATTAGAAAATGCTACTACTTCCACCTTCCTTTTCCCTAAATTTAACATGTTATTTGTAAAAATCCCACATTAACTTAAAACCTAATCTCTTAAATGCGCAAGAGTAATAATTAAATATAGTATCACAAAATGGCAGTATGTGGACTTATATAGATAAACCAAAACAGAGAGAACAAATACCATCTTTTAACAAGCCTCAAGAATGAAGTAAAAAAAACTATTCTAGCAAGCTCTAATAAAGGACTACTGTTAGACAGGAATGTTTACTCAAAGTGTTTTTCTTATTGAGTTACTTTTAAAATCCTAAGATGACCCTCAAGAGAAAACAAACATTTTCACAGCAGTGTTCTAATTAGACTAGCGTAAGTTTGGTACAGCTGAAATGAAAATTATATGACACAATTCAACTTTTAAACTTAAAATAATTGTAGACATTTGCTTGGTTTTTCATGTTTTTCATGACACTTGGCACCTAATATTGAAAAAAGCAGACATTATAACAGTAAGCATAAATGTAACAGTTTAATGAATACTGCCTATAAGAAGTCTCATGTTCATTGTTAAGCAGTATTTCCCTGTAATATTTCTAACTGTAAATACTAACACTAGCATAGCAAGGATTTCTTGAGATTTGCTATCTGTGTAGACGGTTTCCATAGGAAAGATTTATCCATCAGGTAAAAATTCCAGTGTTTCTTGGCTATTGTCAGTATCTGCTCATCCCTAAAATGCTCAAATACTAAAAAACTCTTACTAGTTCTATGCCAGAATATACACCTCTGTTCAATTTACTGAGAACTTGCAACATATCCTTTAACACTTTTCCCAGCTGCTACCAGAACAACCAGAACTGGAAAGACAAAATGGATAAAATGCTTGAAACAAAAGTCAAGATTTCCCCATCCCACCTCCATGGGGGCTATGGGTAAGGAATGTCAGTGCAGATGTGCCATTTCTTAAATTGTTATTTTCCAATATAAATACAATGAAAGTATAATTTATCTTCCTTATCAACAAACTCAGAAGAGTCATTCAACATACACCCAGAAATGAAGGAATAGAAAGGCACAAATAAAGAAACAAAAAGGAATGGACTCACACAGGAGCTAAATCCAATTAACAAAGTAAACCTGAATATAAACTACATTCACACCACTGACAACCCCCAACAATATGATAACTAACAAAAAAATGAGTATAATTTCACTGTAGTATTTTGAGAAAGCAAATGACGCTATATCGGAAGACCATCTAAGCCACAATCACAAATGAAAAAAAAAAAAAAAAATCACTGGGATAAAGCTGTGTGTTTGCACTTCCAGAAGAAGAACAGTAGGTCTGTTAATTTGTTATTACAAGAAAA